GTTCGAAAACAACAATTTAGGACGCAGCCATCCACGTTACAACTGTTCGCCGCTGCGTTAAGTTCGTCCACCCATTACACCCGCGAAATATGCAAATTTATAAACGCACCCGGTATGTAAATTCGAAGTGACCGTGGATACCGGCGGTAATTTTCACTTGAACGCGTAACACGTTTAAATATCAGAAGAATAAGGTCTAAATTGTGCACTTTGGTGCCATGAAAGAGCGATAGTTTCGTGGTAGAGAGAAATGTTTCCTTTCTAAACAATAATTTACACGAAATTGGAATTGTACATATATGTACATTCTGCGAGGAATTGAAAAATCAAAGTGCAGATAGCTAGTGCAAATATCAGTGTCATTTGAAAAAGAAAACACGAGAGAAAAAGGAAGTACAGGTACATACTTCAACATGTCGTTTGGATATAAGATAGAATTTTTATACAAACGTAGGTCGCTTGAAGCTTCGTTAAAAAGTTATACGAAGGGAATGATAACGAACTCACGGTTACTACGAATACAAGACAAGAATCGCACTGGCGAAAGTAAACTTTCAACAATTGTTAATAAACCTTTCAGACGACCTACATTCATAAAACACTTTTCTCTTATTTATATCCACAGAACATGCAAACAAAAACTGAGACAGCCGCTATACATAGAATACACAAAAATCAATTACAAATCACAATAAAATCTCTCCCTAACAAATTCCACTCATTGCCAGATCGATCGATCTCTCAAACGATCCAGGAAAACGCGGCCTCTGAAACTATCGAAAACTCATACGCGACAGGGGCATTAATAACACGTTGAGCGAAAATTTCGTACCGTCACGCAACATAATTCACGGATTAAAGCGACGATCAGACGGATGGTCGGTGGCGGGCCAGCGAGCGACAAAAACCACGGGCCAGCACAGCGTGGAGAAGAAGGTCGGCTTAAATCGGTCGCGCGAAAATCCCGGGTCACCGGTGACGCATGTCCCGAAAATATTCGCCCCCTTTTAGCCTCCCCTTTACAGTTTGCCGGTCGCGCGCGGTCAAACGCCGACGATCGTCGCGACATCGTTTCTCTCTCGGTTCCTCTTCTTTTTTTTTTTCTGTCTCTTCTGCGCTTCACCGTTCACTCGCGAACTGTTCGACTGTACATATAGTATATACGGTCGAGTCACGGATGAGTACGGGTATCGTCGGGGTGCATGGGCGCAACTGAAAACTTTCAAGTAATATTAAACACCTGTCAAACTGTTGCGGCCAACAGTGGGCGACGGCGAGGAGGGTCGGAACGGGCAGATAGGCGAAAGGGGTGAGAGAGAGAGAGATTGGGACGAGTGAGGGCAGCCCGATGTACGAGTTCACGGTGGCCCCCGTGAAATGGAGTTACGAGTGCTTCCCGGGATATTATGTTTGAGTTTGGCCCGTAATATACGCCAGCGCCCCTAAGTCCGACGTACGCCCCGGCTAACGACGAACGCCACGAGAATCGTAACCCCATCGCGAAATCTTGGCGTCGACGGTGAATTGTGCGGGAGGAAGAAAGGAGACGGGTTTGGATTTGCGAGGGGGAAATTTGTCGACGAATGAATTTTTTCGACAAATGTAAACAGAAATTTAAACTTAAATGTGGATAGGTGTGTTGGCGACGTTGTATTTTGAAAGATCGTCGAAGACAATTAGTCTGGCGCTATTTTGCTTTTTGATTTTGTTAGAATGTGCAATGCAGACGACCAAAGATTGTTATTTAGCGACACAAATTCACGTACCTACCGGGTGTTGTAGGATTAATTGTTCGGGAAAAGTATGAGAAATTGCAGGAATGGTAAGTAAACTCACATGAGAACGTTGTTCGTAGAGGAACTGACCACGAGGTGGAGAAAACAAGGGTGTTTTCTTCTAAGAGGACTAATCTATAGCGAAACAGAGTTAATATTTCTAGCAAGTGGATGGAGATTATCGGGACGTAGGTATTCGTTGAAAAAAGTGGAAGAAGGTGAATATATTTGGAGAGTATTCTTGAGATTTTGTGGTTATCGATAAAAGAGTATGTAAAGTTTAACTGTTTAGTCTACGTATTTTATTTTCACGAAAGGGACAACGAATCTAATGGAATATTTTTCAATCGTTCGGTGTTAAATATGAAATATTAATTGAAGAATCTCGAAGGGTACATCGATCGGATAATGCCTGATTAAAAGTTGATACATCATAAGTGGTGTAATTGAAGCGTGAGTTGAATCGTTGCAGAAAAGTGGCGAAATTATTCAGGACAAATTCACAGTGACATCCGTTTAATGAAGTACCAACGGAATACAATCAGCGTTCAACTTGTTAATGGTTCGCATCAATTATTCGTTAAGTGCTTATCCGCTTGTTTTGAATCCGCTCGATTCTGTTCCATTCAATTGTACAAATTTTCATCATTTTATATTTTCATTTCGCTGCTACTCGAGGAAAAGCTTTCTGCCAGTCGTTAAAAATTGAAGTAGAAATTAAAATACCATTCCTAGTGGGCAAATTGACATTTCTATATGGTATTCTACGAAATTCGGAAAATCACACCAAAGAGGATTATTTAAATACACAAATGAAAAGATATCATAAAAACGTCCCGAAAAATTATAATTTCATTAAAGTCAAATAACAGTAACGAAAATTGATCACCTACCTGGGAAGATTTAAAAATCCATTAAAATTCGCGAATGATCGTAGGTGATCGATAGAGCCAAGGAGACAATTTTTCAAA